TAACCAATATGTAGTGGCTTTCTTTGCCTCTTCTGAGCATTTTGGGCTTGAAATCCACTTTGTCTGAAATTAGAACAGTACTCTTGCTTTTTTCCAGGTTTTTATTGCATGGGATATTTTTCATCCTTTGATTTTCAATCTGTGCATTTCTTTTTGTATGAAATGTGTTTCTTATATACTGCATCCTATTGGGTTTTCTTTCTTGATCCATTTTACCAATATGTGTCTTTTGACTTGGGAATTGAAACCATTCATATTTAGAGTATTACTGAAAGATATTGACTTATTCTTCTCATTGCATTACAGCAAACCCATTAAAATTACAGCAGACTTCTCAACACAAACCTTAAAGGCCAGGAGGGCTTGGAGTGAGGAGTTTTAAGCCCTAAAAAATAACAACTTCCAACCCACATTTACATATCCTGCAAAACTTTCTTTCAAAATGATGGAGAAATAAGGTCTTTACATGACACCTAAAGAAAAGAGCACCTAAAGAAAAAAAAAAAGTGAGACCAAGGATATTTATAGAATTAGATAAACATACCAGAAAAAAAACCCAGCAAAAAATAGAAGAGAAAAGAAAAAAAGGAAGAAAAAAGAAATAATATGGAGAGAAAAATTATTTTAAAATTTAAAAAGAGAAAGTATGAAAAAGAAAGATTTAAAAAAATGAGTCCAAAAAGACAAAAAAAATATTTTTTTCTCTGTATTTTTGAATGAATGGTTTCCTTCTAGGGTCTGCAGGTTTGAAGGACAGTAAGTCTCGGTTTCCTCTGTCTAGCCCTAGGGCCCGTGGGTTTGTGAAGTATCTTTATTCCCTCTTCCTACCCCAGGCTATAGCCGTGTCCAAGCTGAGACACCTCTGTGCTCATACTGGTAGACAGGGAACACAATCAGAGCTCAGACCTGTGCTGGATGTAGGCAGCAGGGCAAGGGTTCAAGCACTTAATGCCTACAGGTACTTTCAGACCCAGCTAACTCCTAAGTGCAACTGAAACCAGGCCAGGATGCTCACCCAATTAAGAGATTAAGAGACAGATTTTGAGATATGGAGATTAAAGTGGATCATCCAGGTAGACTGTGTAATCACTAAGGTCCTTTTACGAGTAGGCAGGAGCATCAGTCAGTAGTACAGGTGGTGATGGGAGGAAGAGGTTTGAGTAATTTATGAAAACTGAAAAGACAAGGATATGGATTCTTCCTTCAGAATGTCTGGGAGGACTTAGCCCTACTGATACCTCGACTTAGCTCCACGAGACTTTCAACTTCTGATCTCCAGAACTGAAAGACAGTATATGTGTGGGGTTTTTGTTGTTGTTCAAGATCTTTTGAGAAAGAGTCTCACTTTGTAATTCAGGCTGGCCTTGAACTCACTAGGTAGCCTAGGCTGGCCTTGAACTTGCAGTGATCCTCCTGCCTCAGCCTCCTGGCGAAGCCCAACCAACCTCCAATGCTGCTTGACAAAGTTCCAGCTGGGGGAAAGAAAGGGTGGAACACATTGTACCCTCATGTTTTATTTTTTTCTTACTATAATGTTTATAATTGTTACTCTGATCACAGGAGTCATTCTGTTTGTGACTAACAACAAACTCTCCATGAGGCAAATTGGTAATGATATATTGAAATCTTATCTGGCTCACAAGTCCCAAATTCCAGTTTCTCTTAGTTCTATTGCCACATCCACTTCTAAAAAAACTTCTCCTAAAACCCCCTCTGTTTCCCCACTACTATAACTCCCCCTCTTATTGTTGACATTCTTTTTACTAAAGGGGTCTTACGAAGAGATTGGAAGGACAGACTTTAGATGTAAGAAATAGTGGAAAATGGGAAATAGAATGTTAAGACAGGTAAATGCATTAAGGAGACAAGTTACTCAGTATTTCTCAAAGTGCTGTAAATATCTCCTGCTCAGACTATGAACCCAAATGACATTTAGTTAAGATGAATAGAGGTAAAGAAAAATAGAGAGCTAATAGCAAACTATATTAACCATTGTGCAGTTTCTCAAGGGCCAGCTGGTGACCACAAGTTTGACATTTAGTTGATTAAATCTTGCTTGTACCCCCGCTGATATAAAGATTTTGATTAAGTTACTTTCTGTTTAGGTGTGGGTAAATAAGGGGACAATTGTAATTTTTAAATATGTATTTGTGATGGTCAATGAAATGAAACAGCTTAGAGAAATTGTACTTTGTTTAACAAAAAAATAACCTTTACTTTAATAGAAATTGCTAAGGCAACTTAAAATGTAAACATGTTCCGCCCAATGCCTCCCAGCTATTGCTTAAAGATATAAAAATAAATCAGACCCTGAAACTTATCAGAGGGAACCGGAACATTGCTTGTGAAGGTTCTTTTCTCATTGCTGGCCCAGGACATCTCCCCTTCCCACCTTACATCGACATCGATTGCAGCTGGTCTGCGGCAGCCTCCCAAGTGCTGGGTTTACTGGCATTCACCACCACGCCCAGTGATGTGTGGCTATTTTAAACTACTAAATTTGTGGCAATTTGTTACAGTAGCAATAGGAAACTAATACCTACCATAGCAGGTGTTATGGCTGTGTCAAGATGTTCCCCCAAAGCCTCAGGCAGTCATAGGTGGGGCTTTTTCAGAGGCGGGTGGCTGAATCCAGAGTGTGTGATTGATTCATGGCACAATACTAGGAATAAGGGTGCTAGGATTAAGAGTGGGTGATCACTAAATCAGTCCACTGATTGGTTTGGCACTGCCCTAATCTTGGTAAACTAGATATAATAGACAGAAAGGCTCGCCTTACCTCTTGCTTGCTTTGATACCTCCTGCCTGCCATGAACTGTTTCTCCTCATGTCTCTCCTCATGAACTCTTTATCCTCTGTGAACTGGTGCTCGTCTGCCATGCCACATTGCCTAGAAGCCAGCTGACTATAGACTAAAACCTCTATAAATTGTGAGCTAAATAAACCTTTACCCCTTTAACTTTGGATGTCAGGTATTTTGTCTCAGGAATGAGAGAAAGTAAGGCAGCAGAGCATATACTTATCTCAACCTGGTAAATACTATGAAAGCATAGGGCTGAAACACCCTGTCCAAACTGAGATTCAAGGTAGTTCCATAGAAGAGCAGTCTATCTGATCCCACAATCACTGGTTACCCACCAATACAGGGATCCGAAGGTCCCTTAAATCAAAGGGCAGATTGGAGGACCGGGGATTTAGCTCAGTGGTTCTGGCGCCTGCCTTGCAAGCTGAGGACCCAAGTTCGATCCCCGGTACCAAAAAAAAAAAGGGCAGATTGGAAGAAAGCTTGTATTGCATTCTATGAAGTATAAACTCCATGCCAAAGGCAATGGGAATCCATTGAAAATTTTGTAATGGTATGTGATCTGACCACACAGGTTGTTGAGAATGTGGACCCCAAGGACTGTAGACAATGGAGAAAGAAGGTCTGTCACACAGTAATTGTCCACATAAGAGATTATTTTGTAAATACAGTGATACCTCAGATCATGAATGCTTCTGTTCGTGAGCAGTTCGGTTCAAAAACAGAAGCACTTGGCAAAATTTTGCTTTCTTTGTGAACTCTGCATTGGGTGATGAACACAACTGTGGCATTTTCCCCAGAACTGCGGAACAAATTAAGTCTGTGAACTGAGGTACTGCTGTAAATACATGAATGAACAAATTAGGAATCCTTTTCACAAATATGTGTAGGACTCGTGACAAATCATTAAGTAAAATGTCTTGAGTTTAATCATGGATTTTCAACTGTAGGAAGAATACCTTCATGTATATTTTAATACAAGCGCCTCAAGATGTTAGCTATATACTGTATATAACATATTTTGGATTGGAAGAAACTAGTAGTTGAGCTGTGTAGGTTCCCAGGCGGCTGTAGGTTAAATTTATTTTTATTTTTTGTAGTGCTAGGAATTGGACCCAGGGCCTTGTGCATGCTAAGCAAGCAGTCTACTATGGAGTCACAATCCCATCAAATTTTTTAAAAAATAAGGCTATTATAAATTCATAATAGCAAAAACTTCTACAGTATGTGGTAGGTATTGTCCTATATATCTCATATGTAAAAACTAATTTACTGCTTGCAAGAACCCTATGAGATGTTTACTATTTTTATTCCCATTTTAAAGATGAAAAAATTGAAGCAGAGTTTAAATTACTTGGCTTTGGGCCGGGTGTGTAGCTCAGCAGCACAGCGCCTGCCTGGCAAGCCCGAGGTCCTGAGTTCAATCCCTGGTACCAAATAAATA